GACCAGCGACACAGCCCTCCCCATGTCACTCGCACCCCTCCCCTAAGTCGTGGACAGCTGGCCGGTGACTCCGTCACCAATCAGGAGTCACGATCGGCAATCCCGGCCACAGCCGCACGTGCCGTCCCGGGGAAGCGATGCGGGTCCCGCCCAGCTGTCCCAACCGCTCACTGCGCGCCCACCCGCGCCTCAAAACCCGCCGCCACACCGCGCCAAACAGGCTAATCCAGTTCAAAAAACGGCCCGGCACAATGGCAAGCCCAGCAAAGCCGCCAAATGCGGGACTGACGTCGGCTCGGGCGCGGCCCGGGGCGGGCGCCTCCGACTGTTTGCGCGCGGCCCGACCGCTGGCTACCCGGTGTTTTGGAGCCCGCCCCCGACCGCCGAGGGTCGCGACGAATCGGCCCCTCCGGCGGGCGGGGGGGGGGGGGGGGGGGGCGCGCGTCTGGGCCCGCGAGAAAACAGGAGGGGGGGTGGCCGGCGCGCGGATGCGTCCGTCCGTGTCGGAGCCCCTGCCCTGGCAAGTCCGACAAGACAACGGAGCGAGCAAGGTCGGGAACGCTGCGCGGAGGCGAGTCCGGCGCCGGGACCCGGGAGGCCGCTGCAGACCTGGCAAAGGTCCGAGGAGACCGCTGCAGACCTGGCAAAGGTCCAGGAGACCGCTGCAGACCTGGCAAAGGTCCGGAAGACCGCTGCAGACCTGGCAAAGGTCCGGGAGGCCGCTGCAGACCTGGCAAAGGTCCGGGAGGCCGCTGCAGACCTGGCAAAGGTCCGGGAGGCCACTGCAGACCTGGTAAAGGTCCGGGAGACCACTGCAGACCTGGCAAAGGTCCGTGAGGCCGCTGCAGACCTGGCAGTGGGCCCACAGCGGCGCGAGCTGCAGCTGCGGGCTGGCGCGGCGAGCGATCTCCTCATGGTCTCGGCGGTCAGTGAGAATCGACTATCAGATATATCAGATGGCGTCGCAGTTTTTAGGCGGCTGGAGGTGCGATACCTGGGAAAATATGCGGTCGTGCCTCTCAGCTACGCTGAATCAAGTGAAATAGCACCTGAATAAAAGCAGCCACTCGAGCCCCCGATCTTGCAGAGGTTCCCAACGGCCCCGTCGTAAAGCACCGGCCTGCAGGTCTTGTCAGCGCCATGTCAGGCTTGCAAGCTCGCTGTAAATCGCCCGGCCGCTCTCTCTGGCACGGGAGGAGGGGGGGGGGGGGGGGCAGTAAGCTGCGGCCGATGACGACACCGCAGGCAGATCTCGTAGGAATTTCGTGATGGTGAGAGGGAGAGAAGGCCTCGGGCAAAGCAGATGCACGGCACGAGTGGACCTGCGGGACTTGCGAGCCGCGGACAATCCCAGCAACGCTCCCGCCCATCATTCCGGAGAAGATCTCGGAGGGAAAACAGGCTCAGGCATCCGCATTGGTCAGGATGAAAGGATTGATTGATTATTGGTGATTACGTCCCTTCAAACGGATGGTGGGGAGAAGAGAGGTGCATGCGGAGAGCAAATGGTGCCGAAGGACCGGACGTCCCGAGACCAACTCACTGCGGCGAGGACCGTAATATAGTGGGTGCCGTTGCCAAGCTGCTGTGCACGGACGAAAGCAGCAGCTTTTGCCGACAATGTTGTCTTAAAAGCGAGCAATCTCACAAAGCCCCAACTGCCGGTTGACTCAAAGGTTGGCACCGCGTACTGTGTGCACCGATGATGCAACATCTTCACCTTTATAGCGGCGTTGACCCGTGTTTAGCATGTTCTTTTACATGTGGACAACGCTCCCGCCAAAACCCCGCCATGTGAATGCGCCGCGCATGCGCGACGCGCCACAGCCGACCGCCCCAGGGTCAGGGGTCAGGGCGGCGTCACTTACTCAGGTCACTCAGGGCTGCGTCACTGGAGACGGCAGGGTCGATTGTGTGCACCAGTGAAAGTCCCCTCCCTGACCTCCGGCTGGAGCAGGAGCAGCCTAAGGCTGGGGCCGTCACGCATGGCAGCACGTGGACGATGCCGCAAAGGCAGTCTGTGGCACAGCCCGAGCAGTGGGCGGCCACAAATGTGGTGTGAAATCACGCGTCTGGTGTGATACGACGGGATCGGCTGGCTGGCACGCTTGCGATCTTCTTAACTTTGCAACTTAGCTGCTGTTGCTACAAATACGATTCCGATCAACACACATGACACCATATCTCCATCTCGTCCAGTCCCAGTAACAGGGCTCCCTTCCGCTCTCTCCCAGCGCGGCTTCCTTCGTCCCGGAACTTTTTGCCAGCCGGCGCCTACGTATCGACACAATCCGTGCCACGCTCGGCGGACCGTGAAACCGCCCCGCAAGCGTTCGCTTTCCTTCGCCGACTGCCCGGCCGAGGGTGAACTCCCACAGACCCGCGGCGCCACACACATGTCGTCACCGGCGCCGTACCCGTGACGTCACCGTTCGCCACCTGGACATCCATCCCCGGTAAAAAATGAGACCACGGCTGCGGCGGCGGCGGCGGCGGCGGCAGGAAAGGGGACTCCGAAGAAACCAGCGCCGACAACAGGATGTGGAGATTAGCCGGCGGCCGGCAGCTGGTGCCGTCGAGGGCTGCGGGGTTACGGAAGCGCTGATTGCCTCCTCATTAGTGCGCAAGGGGTTCTCACGGGAGCGCCGGGCGGGGGCGCGGGTCACCGGCGGCGCTGACCGCGGGTCACCGGCGGCACTGACCGCGGGTCACCGGCGGCACTGACCGCGGGTCACCGGCGGCGCTGATCGCGGGTCACCGGCGGCACTGACCGCGGGCCACCGGCGGCGCTGACCGCGGGTCACCGGCGGCGCTTTGTGCGGCAGGGCGGCGTCCGGGCCGGCGCGGGCTCGTCTGAGGGACAGCGTGAATATCCGCCGGTGGGCACGGCGGAGGCGCACGCGGGCGGCGGCGTGACTCGGGGCGGTTGGCCGCTGTGATCGACCGCTTCCGCGTGGGAGACCCGGGACCCCGGCCCGGCGCACCCTGTACCGGCCGCCGGGGACGACGGTAACGGCCTCAGAACGGGACGCTGATGAACTCTTTCGTGTATGGAGTCATGCGGCAGATCATTGTTGCGGGCTGGAGCGGAGTGCGGTGTATTTCGCGAAACGAATGACTGGGACGGGTCATTACCGCCGCCGTCTGTCACGCTCGTTTAAGTGAGAAAGCCGCAAAATGCTGCAATCTGCAAATATGTAATCAGCGCATAGCAACATGCAATTTTGTCGGAAAACCCCTCGTCATATCGGCCTACAACACACGGCGTTTAACTCATAGGCGCCATCTACAGCTAATAACTTAAGAGGACCGCATTTCGTTGAAACGGGCGGTAATATTTCGTGTAGCCACGCCACCAGCTACACAGTGTCCGACCGGTGCGTGGCTGGGTGGCCGGAGGAGGGCGTCCGTCCGACCGCAGAGCCATCACGAGCACCATTGCCGGAGGGCTCTCGTGACCTGGCGTCTGCAGAGGTCGTGACCTGACGTCTGCAGAGGTCGTGACTACACCTCCTACGCTCCGGCGTTCATTTCGCCGCCAGCCGGACCCATATCACACACCGGCGATTACGAGAACATTATCGTCGCGTAACGCGGCAGAAACGCCACGGACGAAAGTGCTTTGAGCACCTCCGCTGCGGGGATTCGTGAATTAATTCCATACCTCCCGTGCGGCGACTCTCGAGCGAGCGCCGCACCTCCAGCACGCTAAACCTCGCAGGGTGCCGGCGAAATGACCCGGATAACAGCGCCGTGCTAGACCTCGCCGTGCTGCCGCCATCTGCCTCCGCAGCGCCGCGGCGCTCTGAAGCCCGCGTTTCTCGCGTGACGACGTACCCGACCCCTGGCCGCGGCCGTGGCCCCGATGGGAGAGGGGGACACGCCGTCCCGCCGCGCGTGCCGATATTAGGGTCAGGCACCAGCGGCGCGCGAACCCAAAACAAGCTGGGGGCGGGGTCGCAGGCTTTCGGCTCATTTTTAGCCGAGCAACACTGCGGGGCAAAGGCTTGATTCTTCCAAGCCTGAGGCTATCCTCCCCCGCCTGCAGCGTCGGTTCCCGCGCCGCGTCCGGCGCGCGCGGCGCCGGCGCCGGCGGATGGCGCGCGTCACGCCACCGAGTGGCGGGAATCGAACGGCGCCGGTCGATGCCGCGCCGCGTTTGCCGCGATCTCCGCCTGTTGGCTCAGCTGGCTCGTTAGCGCCGATTGTCAATAACGGCGCGAGTTCTCATTAGGCGGCGCACACGCGCATGCCGAAGAGTGGCGCAGGTGGGGCGTGCAGCGCCCTGTTAACGGCGATTGGGTGCGGCGAGGGGCGGTGACAGGTGAGAGTGACACATAACGCACGCGAAGGTGACGAGATTGAGACAGCAGTAGGACGGCGACGAGCGCCGGCACCGCCGCCGGGTGCACGTCACACCAGAAACGCCTTCCCACGACATGCAAGGGAGCGTGCATCCGTTCAGGAGCGCCGAGTCGGCGTGCAGTGCGGCCCCAGCCTGCAAACGGCCTCAGCCTCGGCCAGCTCGACAAACGAAACCATGCCACTGCTGTAGAAAGCCGCATTAGCAATTCCTCTCGCCCGCGGTGTGGCGTCAGCCCATGAGGGGCCCTCTTGGCACCGCTGCAGATGTGCCCGCCGCTGCACAGCGCCCCCTGTGGGACGTCCGTCGTCAGGCCCCGACGGCCGTCCCTTCGTCTACAGCGGACGTCGCCGTCCCCAGCACCTTTGGCCGCCGCAGAAGTGCCTCGCAGCGCGTTAGAAAGCGGCTCGGAAGGAGGCCGGCGCGGCGCGTGGTCCCCGACCGCAAAGGCACTTCTTCGCGTTCGGGTTGCAGTACGACACGTTTAATTGCTTGGTCCATTTTGGGTACACTCCTCGTGCCTATCGAAGCTAGGGACACCAAAGCGCGCCTGGCAGAGGGCCACGAGCCCTTGACCTCGCGGCTGGAAGTCAAGCGTCCTGCCACCGAACCGGGCGGGCAAATTCGAGCGGCGTACCTTCATGGTGTGGACCATGGGCCCGGCCCGCTGCAGGTCCGTCTTCTCCTTCATGGTCCCGTCTCCCGCTCGGTCCCGGTCCTCAACGCCGGAGGTCCGTCATCCCGGCACCGAACGTCGACCGCGACCAGACCACAGATCGCCACCAGACCACAGATCGCGGGACCGCGAGCTTGCGTTCCCGTGTCAGGCGCGACCCAGCTCCGGTCAGCACGGGGCAAATCCACCGGGAAGTCGCGGCACACACCGTCGCCCACCACGCGGTAGCTTCGGCACGTGCTCGCGGCGGTCTTCAAACGAGCCGACGGACGGCGCGCACGGCTGATGACTCGGCGGCGGCCGCAGCACAACCCTGCCCCCTCGCCGACTCGGTGCGTACTACCTGGCGCGCTCTACCTGAGAGGCGCCCGGCCGCGGCGCGCGCCTCCGCCGCCGCCGCCTCGTCCTGCTACAGGGCTGCTTCGCCCGCGCTGCACGAGCCAAACCGGGTCTAAGCCCCCGTCAGGGTCGCCGTCGGGGCAGGGGCAGGCAGCGCCTGGCTCCAGCTCGAGAGGATTTGTCGGGTTTTCATCGGACGCCGTCGCGCGAACTTAAGTTCCCGCCAACGGCGGCGGCGCCAGCCGCGGGGTACCTGGCCGCACCTGCCCGACTGGCCAGTCCCGACGGACGAGTCCATCGGCGCCGTCGAGGGGAGGCACGCTGGCCGTAGTAGACACGTGCGGAGGCCGACGGACGCGCCGCGTCTTTTGCGACGCGGGCTTTCGCGGCGCGCCGCCGCCATATTTGGCGCCACTGGCCAGGCAGCGGCGCTGACGCCTAGTCAGCACCGCCCCTCTTACGTATTCATGAGAGGGGCCAGCCGGACCATAACATTTTGCACGGCCATGGGTGTAAGTCTGCAGCGCGCTGGTGCAACAGGTGCACGAGGCTGACGACCGCCGACAAACATAGGCGGCCAGCGCGGGGCAAGCCTGAGGTCCGCAATAGTGGTAGTAGCAGTCCAAGCTGGGTCAAGCTCGAGTGATCACGCTCGCGAATTCGGATGGAGCTCTCTTCACAGTACAATCAATCCAACTCGAGGCGTCTATGAATAGAAGAAGGCTCTCTTGCAGGCCGATGCATTAAGCTAGGTCAAGCACAAAATCGTCAAGGCTAGTAAGATGTGTTGCTTGGGCGTGCTCTAGCATCGGGCAAAAAGACCCCCAAAACCTGACTCCGAATCGACTATTAAGCCTTATCAGTTTGTTCGTCGTATGCCGGCCTCACATCATTTCCCAGCTTGTGGTGAGTGTAAGCCATTGACCAGCCGCTACATCAGCTATGGAGGGAGCTGTGGAGTGGAGACCCGTGCCACCTCTTCAACTCCTTGCCGCCACCCGCCCTGCGACACTTGGCTGTCTGCTGCAGCCGGACGTAGATGGCGGATATGCCAATGCGCGGGATTGGCGCCATCTTAACGGCATCACGACGCAGACTTTTGGCGCCGACTGATTCGGACCACGTTTGCCCAACAGCTCGACATCTCCCGCCACGGAGGTTACTCAGCACATCTGGTCACGAGCGCTATCAGTGCCGGCTGCGAACACTACTCAGGCTGGATGTGAGGGTCACGATGAAGCTGTCACAAAATACCGGGATGTCACGACCAGTTGGCGGGAACTGAGGCGCTGCCTCCATCACTGGCGCCATGAGAAGTCTTGGCGCGTAAAACCTTTGGTTGTTAATCAGGTCGCGCATAATCACGACCGTGGCGAAGGAATTTCAAGGAAGGATCGGATTGGGGGCAGAATGGGATTTGGCATTCTACGTAATGAAGTAACCCTAGCAATTCGTGTCAAAATCTCAGCGGCGTCACCTACGACGCCTAAAAGGCGCCACATCCTTCAAGAGATAGACAAGCCAAAGCCGTCGAAAAAGGTGCAAAGGTTCTCACAGACACGAGTACTAACGGAAGGTTTTTTACACCATACTTCCCACGCGGCACAATACACGTGGTCAGCTGGACCCGCTGCGTGCGCAGTCCCATCAATCTTCCTCACCCCTCCCACGCCACTGTCCGACAAAACACAAACACTGCCGCAAAAACACGGTTCAGCCGTTGCAGCTGGCCGCAAATGACGTCATTGTCCACGTGACTACCGTTCGACCGACTTAGGCCTGTTGGACACCCGTGCTCGCGTCGAACTGTTTTTGTTCGATTTGGGGTTTGCTGTTTCCTGGTCTCCCGCCATCTCATTTCTGATTTTCATGTGAACCCCGTAGCACTGTTGTCTATCTGTCTGTCCTCTATCTCGACCCAATGCTACCGTAGGTCTACTTTTGTTTTCGGTTTTGTTATTTGGTTAGAGCCCTTTCAGCTAGCATTGATCATTCCAGGCCTATGGGATGAAGGAGACTGGACAAGCGTGGAGCAGGAGCGCATGCGCCCGAGGAGTGCGCGCGAGCTTAGCCTGCGCAGGGGCGGGGGGCCTCTACGGGGCATGAGCTGGGCGCTCGGCCGGGGTCCCACTCTAGTGGGCCTTTCAATGCACTCGTGGCTGGAGCACGCAGTCTGCCCCGGAAAAGCAGGGCATTGCGAGGATGGATGAAGAGGCAAGACAGAGGATACGAGGGACGGATACCATTTGCTTTCAAAACTTGCAATAAATACCACAAGCCAGCCAAATGCCTTAAACAACAATGTCCATAACACAATACAAGGCAAAGAACACCCGAGCTAACACCCGGAGGTTCACAGCATAACTATAAAGCGCGTTCCAGTTGCGTGGACATCCAATACAACTGACGCATCACTGATGGGCGTAGGCCGAAACACCACTCCCGCCTCACGACCCCGACCTCCCCGCGCCAGCCGCTTGGCCACTCCCACCCACCGACACCCCAGGCTGAGACGGGGGGCCGGGCCGTGACCGAGCAGCACAGCTCGCGCCTTTCAGGCCGACGGCTGGGGCCGGGGAGGGGAGGGGTGTGAGTCAGCCTCCTCTGAGAGCCGACATGGAGAGGGGCGGACAGGGTCGCGAGAGGGAGCCACTCATGCGGCGATGACGCGACGAATCTCGTCCATGACGCTGCACCGGGCGGAGCGACGAGCGGCGCGGCGCGTCGGCCGTTTAGTCAGCCTCTTCAAGCGCCGGCTCATCAAGTCGGCTCATCAAGTCGGCTCATCAAGCCGGCTCATCAAGCCGGCTCACCAAGTCGACTTATCAAGTCGGCTCATCAAGCCGGCTCATCAAGCCGGTTCATCAAGTTGGCGCATTAAGCGTCCAAGTCGGCTCATCAAGTCGGCTCATCAACTCGGCTCATCAAGTCGGCATATCAAGCGCCCAAGTCGGCGTATCAAGTCGCCTCATCATGTCGGTGCACCAAGTCGGCTCATCAAGTCGGCTCAGATCAGCTTAGTGTCCTGTTCACTGCGTAGTGTTGCCATCAGGTGATGACATTTCGGGTACTGTGCGGCTGTGCAGACCCTGAACCGAGAACACCGTCACCACTGCAGGGGACAGTCGCCGCTTTAGACAGGCGTTTAATGACAGGTGTGGTTCACTCAGTTGGGCCATCTCAGCTCACCTAACTCTACGTTGCGCAACCTTCACCGAAATTAAGGCTAAAATGCACCCAGTGTCTGGCCGTTTTCTTGCTCCCATTACACAATCTGACATCTTGTCTGGCCACTTATGCGGGAGTTAGTATCCCTAGCGGGTCACACACCAGGATCACCAGGGTCACACCGGGCGGTGTCTGGTGACCGGGCAGTGTCTGGTAACCGGGCACTGTCTGGTGACCGGGCACTATCTGGTGGCCGGGTAGTGTCTGGCAACCCACACCACTGGCGCTCCGAGATCAGCCAACAGCCCAGCACAGAAGCTGCCACCGTTGTTTGCTGCAGTGCTCCTTTCGTGCTCTCGCCCCCTCCCCACCCCACCGACCTCTCGCCGACGGGGCGTCAGGGCCGCGCCCATGGCGCCTGCCTCCTCTCACCTTGAGACAGGTGCAGAAGGGGGAGGGTGGCCTAAGCCGCAGCGGGCGCAGCCAGCACGTGTGACACGGCTGGCCCGAACAGACCCCACATGGCGCCTGCTATCCGCGCGGGTGGAAGACCCCAAATGGACGTTGAAGCAGCTCGTGCCTTAAATTTACGACGTCAATGCTTAATACATCTGGCTATGCTAGACAAGTGTGGGAGGGCAGCAGCCACTTTCCTCAGTGTTCCCACGCCACTGGGCACAGCGCCATCTACAGAGAATGCGAGAAGCGATCGAGCAGGGCGTGAGCGGCCGCTCCTCAGTCTGAAACTGTATCAGGCTATCTTGATCGCTAAAAGTGGACTTCAGGGCGCCCCGAGTATTTGATCACGCTACACCCGCCAATGGGCTATCTTAATCCCGTGGGTTGGTGCAGCACAAGCTGATACCGAGAGGATTGGCCGAAGTAAATGCGGCTGACGGCATGCACGATGTTCATAAATAGTCGGTCTGGAATAGCTCAACAAGGTGTTCACCGCGATGTTTATCACGGTCATCAATGCAGATTCATCAAACACCGAACAGCCCGGAACAGGCTCATCGAACGCCGAACAGCCCGGCGTGGCGTCGAAGAGAAGCACAACCTCCACCATTTCCTTTCCCCTTCCCCACCGGACAAAACAGACCAACATCAATTTGCAGCACATGTGAGCTCCCCCTCCCTATTCTCCCAACCACCATCAACACCACAAGCAAGCACACCTAATCGACAATGCTCCGCGGCATTTTGGTACTCCCCCTGTGTAGCAAAATGCCGCTACTCCCCCATTTTGCTACTTTTGCTGGGCCGGTGTTTTACGGCGGGGGGGAGGGCCGCCGTAAAACGCCCGCCCAGCTCAGACGGGGTGGCCACCGGCGTCCGGCCGTGTCGTGGTCGCGCTCGCCGCCGGACGCCGGGCGCCGCCGCAGCCGGGCCCGCTGGGAATCTGCCGCCGGTTCTCACCGGTCGGGTCGGGGGTCGGGGGGTCGGCGTCGGCCGGCGCCCAGCCGGGTTCGCACGGGTGCGCCGCGCCTCGCGCCGTAATGACCGGCTGACACGAGAGGGCCCCCGGGGGGAGGGGCGTACAGAAGCAGCGCGGGCGGAACCGGAGACGGAAGGCAAGGTGGAGACAACGGGCTGAGGGTAGAGGGAGACGGATGCTTCGAACATAGGCGAGTACAAGGGCCACATTAGCGCTCAGGGGCCGTGGCGCAGCCGGGTTTCGAACCCAGCACCCCCGCGCGGTAGACGAAGACGCTACCCACCCGGCCATAACGCCACCACCGTCCGACTCCTGTGGGAGCCGACGCGAAGTCCTGGGAACCCGCACCTCCCGACGCCGCTGACCACGAATGACT